ACATCAAGGTCACCTTGGGTTTTACAAATAGGAAAACATTTTTTTTTTTTACCATTTTTTGGTGGACATCGAGACGAATACAAAACACATATTATACGATAGTTTTACTAACATATTTTTATTATTTAAAAAAAATTTTTGTTTTAATTATGTAAAGTGCATTTTTCTTATGTTCTAGTCGCGTGTTTACATTCGGTAATCTCTTCGATGTCAAATAACGTTTACACTGTCTTGAAGTCAAATATGTACGACGAAAAGCTAATGTATTTCATATTTCCATTACTGTATTGAATTCGTCTCGATGTCCACAAAAAAATGGTAAAGAGAAAAATTCCTATTTGTAACACCCAAGGTGGTCTTGATTTCGCCATGAAAACAAATTGTTTTCGAAATTTTTTTTACTGATATTTAGTGTACACTCCATACCCTGCAACATTTGCTCTAAACTTTTTTTTGTCAGATGGCTGCAAGTGGGTGAAAAATCGTGCGTCGCGTTATAGGTAACACCCTGTATATGTATGTACATTATTGTACTGCTTTATTTTTACTTTATCAGAGATATAGAGATTTATTTAAGCTACATAGTAAATAAAAGAGATTTAATTGTTTGAACTGTTTTTCAAGTGTAATATTGTTTTATATGTATGTGATCGTTGATGTTTCTTTATTTTACTGTAAAATTGCAGTAGAGGACTTGGGCCAGTCTGGCTCTTAGATACAGATTTATTAAGCTGTTACAGTATGTTTAACATTGTTAGTTTGTTGCAATTAGTTTTCATTAATTTTCAGTAGAAAATTTCCACTTCCATTAATTTTGGTAGAAAGACAGTTGCTAAACGTTTTATTGAACAATGAGCTAAATTAAGACTCCCTTCTATTTTATTTTTACTAAATTAAGACACTCTTCAGTTTTCTCCTTTTACGTATATCCGTAATCTCAATCAAAATTATTACAATTATAAATTTCCACGCAATTACGAACTCAATATAAAATAATCGACATTCTGGATCGTTAGAGAATTTTGGCATTATTGACATTTTTCCATAATTCGATATTTAAATATGGTTTCTGAACTTCCTCTTAAAATTCTGAAAAAATTTACATTTTGCCCATATTTCTCGCATTTAATTATCAAAATTTCGCCATTATTACCATTTTCCATAATTCAATATTCAAACACAACTTTTCAACTTCCCCTCAAAACTCCGCCGAAACTCGTATTCACCGATATCACCGCGAAATATGTAACTTCCTTTGCAGGTCGAAGACCGCCGACATTGAGAGGATGTTGCACATCACCAGACCGGACACCGGTATTACCATGTCACCTCAGAGCAAGACCAGCTCGACGACCACCTCCTCCGAGAGCAAAAAGTACACGAAGAGACGGTACACAGACTCGAGGCATCAGACGCGTCACATCCCCGACTCTGACACGTTGGCGGGGAAGGGCACGGTCACAGTTTCGGCCACGTCTGTCACCATGTCCTCTTCGTCCTCGGCTACCGGCGCGCAGAATCAACGAGCCGGAGCACAGCCGGTCTGGAAACGACGTGAGCTGATCTCCAGCGCGCCTAAGGACAGGGAAGGATACTTCTGAACGTCCCTTTCCCAGGGGCGATCGAATCGAATGTTTCCAACATCTCGATGGACTGTTTTCTCTCTCAGGACTCGTTTTCAAATAGACTTTATCTCTCTCACAGACATTCGATTAATTAAATTAGCCTAGAGTTTCATCTTCAGAAGATGAACGAACTAACGAGACTCGAAAAATGGGACCCAAGAAGTCTTGGTTAAGATGAAATTGTGTTCAGATAAAAGGGTGTCTTATTACGATTAGAGAAAGCTTCGTGTAAACCTATCGTCCAATTTAATCGTGGATTTAAATTGTACCTATGCATGCACATAGGTATATTCCTTACGAAAACGTTTCATTATAAGAGAAGAAGAAAACACGGTGAAATGGATGATACGTTTACACGAATTTCTTCTACTTTATTCGTTAGCATTCAATGCATCGTAAACAAGGATCTGAGTAATTTATTGTACGTTCTTATTGTTGTGTCCTTGGTGCATTGCTCGGAACGATTTTTACGAATGTTTGAACAGAAGTTGACTCGATGCAGAGGAGACAGTGTGCCTTGATGCGTTACAATTCTCGAAGAATTGTATATTTTATCAATCGGTACGTTTACTTAACTATGTAAGTAGCTTCTCAAGCTTGAAAATAAAACGCTTATAAAAGAGTGACTTATTTATCTGAGCAGTGTACGAACGAATGAAGAACAATTTACTAGATCCAATCGCGAAACTCTGTGAAAAATTGTACGCTTCAAACTACGTTAACGATTTATGTACAGGGCGGTCCAAGTGAAACAGACCACACCTAATTTGAACGGTTTCAAAGGGTGAATAAGATGAGAAAATTTTTTCTTCAAGGTCACCTGTGTTTTTGACACGAATGTATATATTTTTTTCTACTGTACGTTGTAGCAGATATCGATGTGCATTTAAACGTGCATAATGCGACGTAAAAATGACCTTAGACTCTAAAATTTTTAATCAAATGTGAAACTTCATTTTGTGTTCCTTATTTCTTCAGTCGAAAGAATTTTTCTTCCATGTTGTTCACTCTTTGAAACCCTTTCGTCGCTGAATTATTTGTTACTTATCCATCGTAATGGAAACTAAATAGAGATCAATTTTTATCAGAGTACTCCAGTGGAAAAGGGTTAAATTACATTAATTACAGAAATTTTCTCTTATCACGTAACTAAAATATGTAATTACATGGATACCAAACTGAGATCAATTTTTATCAGAGTACTCCAGTGGAAAAGGGTTAAATTACATTAATTACAAAAATTTTCTCGTATCACATAACTACAAAAATGTAATTACGTGGATACCAAATTGAGATCAATTTTTATCAGAGTACTCCAGTGGAAAAGGGTTAAATTACATTAATTACAGAAATTTTCTTTTATCACATAACTAAAAAAATGTAATTACGTGGATACCAAATTGAGATAAATTTTTATCAGAGTACTCCAGTGGAAAAGGGTTAAATTACATTAATTACAGAAATTTTCTCGTATCACGTAACTAAAATATGTAATTACATGGATACCAAACTGAGATCAATTTTCGTTAGAGCACGAAAGGGTTAAATTACATTAATTACAGAAATTTTCTTTTATCACATAACTAAAAAAATGTAATTACGTGGATACCAAATTGAGATAAATTTTTATCAGAGTACTCCAGTGGAAAAGGGTTAAATTACATTAATTACAAAAATTTTCTCGTATCACGTAACTAAAAAAATGTAATTACGTGGATACCAAACTGAGATCAATTTTCGTTAGAGCACGAAAGGGTTAAATTACATTAATTCCAAAAATGTTCTCTTGTCACTGTATCTGAAAAAATACAATTAAGCGGTCCACCCTGTAAATCGTTTAAAAATTGCCCGACAAGAAAGAAGAAAAAAAAAACGAAGTCAAAAAAGGGGTCCAAAATCGAAGCATGAGATTCGATCGTGAAAGTGTCCGCGAAAAAACTAACTATAGTCACTGCCGATCAGGCGTGGCCTGGCAAAGTGTTCCTCGACACGTTTCTCGCTCGGCCGAGAAACCGTGTGTTCGACGTGTATTCGTGGGGTGTCTATTGGTTCCTAGACTACCGTCCTCGCGCTCGCAAAGATCTCCGTGACGAAAAGCGCACGACCCTCTCTCTCTCTTATCGCAAAACTCTCTGTTTCTCTCTCGTATAATCCTCTCTCTCTAATCGTTTCATCTCTCTCCTCTCATTTTCCCATCGAGAGTCTTGTTCTAGCGTGGAAAGAAGGAAAGAGAATAAAATGAACCAGACTGAGAGGATCTATTTGTTGCGATTAATTTATAGGGAAAAAATTAAAATGGAACAACTATTGATCTGTGTATGTACGGACGTAACATTCTAATGTAGTAACGACACGTTAGTAGTGATTTGTAAATTATTTTTATTACTCTAGAGCCAAAAAGGATTCCAGAGATTTCACGATAATGTGTATCACTGGGTGTGATTATGTCATTAATATTGGAATCCTCGACGAGCCAAAGTTAAGAACGAAGACTAGTCTCGAGTCAGTCGAACTCGTGTGTCGGGCCATTCTATCTCTCTCTCTCTCCCTTTTTTCTTTTCGATCAGTTGAAGTACTGTTGTTACGATGTTCGACGATGAACGAACGTTTGTTACTTTTTTGTTTTTATTTCTGGAGGAGACAAGATTCATTGAGACTATTATTTTTGTATAGTTATAGGTAACTAATTGTTCAGGTGATCTCTCGCGATAACGAACGAGAGGTAACTGCAGTAATGAATTTTGTCGCCTTCGCTTCTTTGTTCTTTTTCTTTGTAATTGTTCTTCGTGCACGAGAAAAGATGTTTATTCTTGAAAGGATCCGTGTACTGCCGTGAGGGACGCGTGGCCCGAATGACGCTGTTGTTCGTCGTTTAAGTTTTCATTTTCAGTCTGTAAGTCAATAAATGAAGGTTAATTTTTTTACCATCACGCGTAACCTTATTGCCATTTCCCATCTATTTTTGAAAATTGAACAGTATAAAAATAAATGAAATTAGTGGATTGTTTTTTTTTAATATTAAATTAATAAACTCGCGAAATATTTCTATGATGTCTGACTTCCAGCAACAGAAAAAGAAATCACATAGTGTAAAAGTAAACAAAATTAGGGGATTGTTTCTTCAAATGTTAAATTAATAAATTAATTGATAAAATATTTCTACGATGACACACTTCCTATGATATAAAAAAGAATCATAGTATAAAAATAAATAAAATTAGGAGATTGTTTTTTTAATATTAAACTAATAAACTCATTAAATGTTTCTGTGATTACTGACAATATAAAACAAACTTAAGAGTATAAAAATAGACAAAATTAGGGAATTGGGTTGTTTTTTTGTTAAGTTGATAAATTAACGAAGAGATTCTT